CCACAGGCTGACGCTCTATCCACTGAGCCACACTGGCCAGGGCTGCTGACTTTTTTAAAACATCAGGTGGCGCCCGGCTGGCAGGGCTCAGTGGTTGGTTGAGCGTGGACCTATGAACCAGGAGATCATGGTTCGATTCCCAGTCAGGGCACATGTCTGGGTTGCGGGCTCCACCCCTAGTGTGGGGTGTGTAGGAGGCAGCCAATCAATGATCCTCTCTCATCATTGACGTTTCTACGTGTCTCTCTCTCCCTTCTGCTCTGAAGGCAATAAAAATCATATATTTTAAAAAATGTTTTTATTTGCTTCAGAAAGAGGATGGAAATGGAGAGAGAGATAGAAACATTGAAGAGAGAGAAGCATCCATTGGCTGCCTCCTGCACACCTCCTACTGGGAATTGAGCCCACAACCTGAGTATGTGCCCTCACTGTGAATGGAAATGCTGATCTCTGGGTTCATGGGCCAACACTCAACCACTGAGCCACAATGGTCACATAAGATTGTGCTCTCTTGAGGGTGGTTATTTCAAAGGTATGTTAGCATGGATGCACAGATACAATGGACAGGGCTTGCTTAAGGAAAACGAACCTTTTAATGAAAAGTATATGCCTGGGATGTGACCTCCCGCCATGACCCCATGACCTGCACAGCTAGGAATTTATGATCCCATCACCCTGTGAGGTTACTTGGCATAGAACCCATTTTTCATCCATGGTCCCTCTTTTGATCACAAGTCAATTTGAAGGATGCACGGATGACCAACCTCTTGGTTGGATAGCGTGCTCTCACAGCGCTATGGGGGCTCTTTCCTAGGAAATGTCAGTGTCCACCTTGTGTTGGTGACCATTGGGATGGGGCAATACTGTAATCATGGGCTCTGTGTTGAGGCCAAATTTTCCCAAAATGGGTAAGGCAGGTAAAGGGAAGGCAGTCAGGTCTTATGGCCATCATTGTGAAAACACACTCTGGCCCTGGCTGGGTAGCTCAGATGGTTAAAGCAGTGATCCAGTATGCCAAGTTTCTGGGTTTGATCATACAACGCACATATGAATAACACATGCAAGAATCAATCAATGAATGCATAAATAAGTGGAATGATTGATGTTTCTCCCTCGCAATCTCAAATCAATAATCAAGAACACTCTGGATCATTTCTGTTCTATGAACTATCATGATGGGAACAGATTTTCCCATGGAGATGATTCTCCCAGTTCTGTCTGGACTATCTTGCCTTAGGAACCCAGGGAAGAAAGGAAATGCTGATTGCCTTTAGGGGTTATTTTGAGAAGGCAAACAGCATTTATCAATTATCCCTCCTGAGACCTGCCTGAAACAGAGCGCCAAGGGACTTGCAGTATAATTATAGCCAATGATAACGTGGCTGATTTGTATGGTCTTTGCTCTGCCCGGGAATGCTCTATGACTTTTCAACTAATGACTCACATTCTTCTAATAACCTTTGAACTGTGTACCAGTTATATCTGTAAGCACAGGGCGAGGTCTATTCTCTGGTGTCCCTCTTGTCCCCAGGCACCCGCTGCCCTCCTGGCACCACTGGCTAAAGCCTGACAATGATAACGTGGCTGATTTGTATGGTCTTTGCTCTGCCCGGGAATGCTCTATGACTTTTCAACTAATGACTCACATTCTTCTAATAACCTTTGAACTGTGTACCAGTTATATCTGTAAGCACAGGGCGAGGTCTATTCTCTGGTGTCCCTCTTGTCCCCAGGCACCCGCTGCCCTCTGGGCACCACTGGCTAAAGCCTGAGTGTGTCCCATGATGGGGATACAGAACAACCAGCCACTGG